TATCCGTAGCTTTTGAATCAGTTTCGGTTACGGTTATGGATATTTTTTTATTTCGGATATCCGATAGTTTCGGTTACGGTTACGGATATCCATAACATCCATGCTTGCTAAGATGGCCCTCTCCGTCCCGCTCATACCTTTTAAAATGGCTTCTCCACCTCACTTAAGCCAGAAACTTGAATTTTGGGCACATTAGAATAATATTTTTTAACCAAGGTAGATAAAGTTAAAAACGGGATTATTTCCAAAAAACAGTTCCAACAACGACAATTACAGCAAGAATTTACCAAGTGTTATACTCCTACATACATCATCCATACATCCTTATTAAATGCGCCAAATTATGACGTCACTTGCCACACTCGCGTAGTACAATTTTTTTTCAGTACAGTCAGTTTAAACTAGGCAAAATTTTTTGGGAATTATGTATTTTTTTCATCCAAGCTGGAGCAGCTGGTTTAGTAATTTTGATAACAATTTAGAGAAGCATTATTCAGGGTTACATAACAAAAAAAAAAAATTGGAAAAGTGAAAATTTGTGGCAACACGAGTAAAAAGACCGTCACCGGGAGTGGAATTTTTTGTTTTTTTTTTTAAATGCCTATTATTTTGACAAAATGCCACATATAGATTTTTTTTATATTTTTCTGATAACCAGCATAACTTGCCTCAACACACAGTTCCGGCTTGACGTTGCATTACGGGACACCCTGTATACCATTGCGATTGCGGTCAAATACCTGCCTTGTCTTACATAAAAAAACCTCAGACACTGACTTAGTTATACGCTAGATCTAAACCAGATTTATTGTGCCATTAAAAAGCTAAATACTCGAACAGTTACAGTCTTTTATACAACTTGTATTCATAAATCAAGAAAAGTATAAATACAGCGGCCACCATCGAGAGCCATTCTTCATATTTACGTCTTGACCTCCGCGTTGTGCGAGGAACACCCAGTAGTGTTGGAATAGCTATCGATAGTATCGCCATATGTAATAGTATCGATATTGTTGATAAATAATTTTGAGCATTATTAATTGGCAACTATGATATTTATTTATTTATTTACTTATTTATTATCATTATTGAGCAATTACATATTTGATCCAAATGGCGTCCGAAATCCTCTTTAGGTTATTAAGTACTTTGACAGCATCCATTGTTTTTGGCTAATCTATACTAATACGAATAATCTATACTAATACCTCTAGTAAAGTTTGTAAGATTGTAGCGGGTAATCTCTGGATCTACTGAACCGATTTTGAAAATTCTTTTATCAATAGAAAGCCACATTAAGTAAGAGTGTCATGGGCCCCAATTTACCCTGAAAAATGAACTTTCTATGTCAAAACGAAATTCACTCGGGCGAAGCCGCGGGCAAAGGCTAGACTGTGTGCTATTATAAATTACAATACTTTGCCATTATCGATAGTAACTTTTGCTCAAAATGCCCTATCGATAGTATCACCATGTGCACTATCGATACTATTATTTTTGCCTCAACTATTGGTAAGCACCACTAACAGCCATTGAAATCGTTTCCCCTATTCCTCCCTTCATCCTAGTTTGTTTTTGTCCTACTTCTTCAATGACCTCTAAAATAACAAACGAGATCTTGACTCAACGGCGCAGTTACACAACACCGGGTTTATAGTATTACAGGGTGTAATACAGGTTGGCGAAAAATTACCAGTTCTCATAATGAGTTGAAATCCTTTGGAATTCCATCGTGGATATAATTATTTCACTATTCCAAAAAAATCTGTAATTCTTTATTGAAAGATTTTAAATATTTACAAAAGAAAATAGTAAGTAGGTACACTGCATACTGAAAGACTCAAAATAAGTAATGATTTAGATACCATCTATGTTTGAATGAAAAAAAACATTAAAGACGTTCTTCTTTCCTTTCCGGGAAACAATATTAATATTATCTGGAGTTGAGATGAATTCGTTATAATTTTTTTGCCACACTGCCTTCTACACCCTGTATACGCCATTTAAAGGTAAGGCTATTTTTAGTTCTCCACCGCTTGAAATACACCAGCATTTTTATCTTCAAATTAAGGTAAGTAAGGGGTTTATTTATTTTCATTATTATAAAATTATACCTAAGTCTAGATTAAGGATATAATATTTTATCGACTAGACCTGATTCCGTATTCTACGTTGTGTTCAAAGCAGGAGCATTATTTTATTGTTTAAAGTAGTTAGGGTATGTAGAAGTTTCTATTCAGTTTTTCTATAGATAGGTATTTATTGTGAGAACTACGTAAATTACAGAAACCCATTTTAAAAAGTACATTATTTTAATAAATCCATTTTGTCTTTAAAAATAAACAAATAAATAGTCAAACAAAATGCTTAGTATAATTTATTTCAAATAGTCAGTTTCAAATTCGTCGTACAATTTCTAACGTAACTTTTGCAACTAAGCTGATGTAGCTGAAATATAATAGCTAATGATCAATTAGCTGCTTCACAGCTCTTTCAACCACATTACTTCGCTTGATCCCAACGAGTCACACCCAAACAATTAGTAACCCTGTTACTCGTTGGGGATAAAAATCTCATCCAGTCACACAGTTACTCGATGGGACATTTCTTAAAAATGTCTTGGCTCAAAGAGTCACACAGCACTGTAATCCGCCTGTGTGGCAGCTCACTAACAGAGGGCCTAGTGTGAGATTTGATAAAAACTCACACTAGGCCATACTACACACTAGTCATAGTGAGCGTCAAAAAATGGAGGCTTCCGGCTACTGGGACCGCAATTAACAGGGACCGCGGTCCCAGTCGCCGGATCCGTAGAAATTAAATAATATTCTTCCGGCAACTGGGACCACTCGTAAATGATAACTGAAATCAACAAAATAATGTACAGTCAAACGAATTTTGTTAGGTGTAATAATTGAAGAAAAATCCTTTTTAATTTAAAAACATCATTTATTAATCCCAACTATATATATATAATATATAATAATATTATAAATGCGAAAGTAACTCTGTCTGTCTGTCTGTCTGTCTGTCTGTTACGCTTTCCCGCTTAAACCTCGCAACCGATTTTGATGAAATTTGGCATAGAGATAGTTTGAGTCCCGGGAAAGAACATAGGATAGTTTTTATCCCGGTTTTTGAAACAGGGACGCGCGCGATAAAGTTTTTCTGTGACAGACAAAATTCCACGCGGGCGAAGCCGCGGGCGGAAAGCTAGTATAAAATATTTATTTAAAAACGGCTACCTGACCTTTAAATCGACGAGGCTTTAGTGAACTAGTGAGCGCATTTGATGTAAACTCACACTCAGCCCACAGTGCAGCCAGTAGCAGTGTGACTCGTTGGGACAAAACATTTTAAAGAGATGTCCCATCGAGTAACGGTGTGATTGATTGGGATTTTTTTTCTCAACGAGCAACGAAACTGCAACTTCTAGTTAGGTACTTTTGAGTTGCATCTAAGTTTCAAACCATTCAAACCGGTTTCAAACTGGTCGCGTCATGTATGATCTCTCAACGGAATCTATGGCAGAAACTTAGATGCAACTCAAAAGTAACTAGAAGTTGCAGTATCGTTGCAATTGCGTTTCACCGTGTGTTCTTGGCCTAACAGGGTTACTCGTTTGGGTGTGACTCGTGGGGAACAAGCGAATAACTTGAATACGAGCACAGTTCTGCGGTCTGCCCCATCAATCATTCCGTGTTTACTGCGCGTCAATCTCGCGGGGGCATAAATGGAACATGTTAATAAACCAGTTCTGACACAATAAAGTGATACGACACTGTATTATAAACAGCAAAAATACTGAAATAATGTTGTAAACATGGCTCTTTTTGAAACAACAACATTGATAGCTGTTGTAATACAGATCTGAGATAAGAACTTATCCGAGGATAGAAAAGTTTCCTACGACTAACAAGCATGTTGTGTCTAATTTTTTCGGTGGACTGATGATTCTCAATTTGACTACCATTAAGACAAAATCATCACCACATCGATGAACTAGAGAACTGGCAGCCAAAGATCTTGCTGTTTAGCGCACCTAGGGGATCTTATGTCCAGATGATGGTTGCTGCTAAATGATGACGATAAAGGCCCAGGATCAGAGAAAAACTTGCAATGTGTGGCTAAAACTTAACAGCGTAGTAACACAATTAGTTAATAGCTTCTAGCTACTCCAAAGAGATTATAATTTTGGTCGATAAACATAATTTATAAATTCACTGTGGATTACTTAAAGCTTAAAGCAAAGACATCTATTTTTAAAAATGTATGCTTGATACAACGATTGACACAGATAAATTACTGTGTAAAAATATCCATCAGTGTGCCTACCATGAGTTTACGTTAGGTGAGCTCGCTAGCGAATACATCAAATAATTCTATGAAGATTTTATTTCTTGAAAGTAGCCGCTAGGGGCGCTGCACAATATGTCATACATTTAAATGTCATTTTTTTACGCAGTCGCTAGCGAGCACACCTAACGTAAACTCATGGTAGGCACACAGATTAAGTAATAGAGTACCCAAATAGTTCAAGTAAAGATGACCCACGCTGAACTGTCCCGCCAAACTCAATGACAGGGGGGCGCTACCATCGTTCAACTTTATGGTTTTAAACATGGCAAAAATCGGAACCAGCGATTCGGTATTGACGGTGGCGCCCCGCTGTCAATGTCATCGATAGGACAGTTCAGTATTTTGGAACTATAACTGCGTGTTACGCTTCATTCTCACACACAGAAAAATATAAAATCATCATTATTTCAACTGTTTAACTAATGAATCATATTGTTAATATTATAGGCAATACTATAATGGTTGTTGTTTAATATGGATTACACATTTTCCTCTATAGAGTCAGTCTTTTAAGCAATTCAGAGTCATGTATTTTTCAATAGATGAATATAAGATACACAAAGAGTTACGGAAACAGGTCTAATCAGTATCAAAATTTGCTGTTCCAATATTTTGTACTCATTATCGTTTTCTATCTACAGATGATCATATAACGTGGCTGACGCCACCCCGCGGCGCGGTGCCGTGCGTGGTGGCGGCGGCGGAGCGGCTGCAGTGGCGGCGGCCTCCTCCACCCTTGGAGGAAGACAGGCCGAGGGCGAAGCCCTATCGGCGGAGGGGCGAGGAGGAACTAAAGAGGTATGCGTCATTTACGAACTCCTTAAATGGGGATGTTGCCTGGGTCAAAAAGCAAGAGTTTTAATTAGTCCGTCAGTTAACTTATCAAAAAATACTCTACACGTATTTTTCACTTTTTCAAACTAATGAAAATTTAAAGAGATAAAGCGCCCCAAAGTTCATAAGAAGAGGCCCGTGACGTCAACGCTTGCTTAAAAATGCCGCACGTTGTGACGTCGTGCGCAACTTCAACGCACCATAACTATGTAATTATTTGTTAGATTGACAAATAAAAATATACGTGTCCAATATTTTTTGATATTAAACATTACGGACTAAAAAAATTTTTTTAGGCAACTAGCCTATGGCTGAAACGAACGACTAAGAAGCAAACTATACCCTTGGGCTATACCTCGGTTAGTTTTTTTCATACAAAAAGGCTACCTTATAGCACCCAATATCTAAATGGGTAATTCGAATTATCTGAATTATCCAACACTGTCTTATTGCTCACCTACCTACACCAAAAAATCTTTCACCCAAAAAGTAGTTGGTAGTGTACATCGTATTGTAGTTAGTACCTAGATAATTATTTTTTTAGGTTTGGTTAGGTACCTGACAGGTTAGAGCACTTGCCCCACCCTGCCCCACCGTGGCTACGCCCATGTTTACTACCTTATATTCACATAACATTCAGTATAGTAGTGACTTATGTCAACAGATTCATTTGCAATATGCGTCATAAACAGACTTAATTAATAAAAAATCTCATCAGTTTCAAAAGTATTTTGTAATAAAGTGACCTAATTTAGAAGTACTTTATATTTTATGTCAAAATATATACTAAATAAAGTATAATTACAAAAAATACTCTGCCCATGTTAACTCAAAAGGTTAATCAATAAATCTACTTAAAATCAATCAAATGCGACGGAACACGAAAGAGATATAGTAAAATGTATTCAAGACTACACTTTTTTGAAGACTTTCTTGTTCATTTACCACAAATTGCATTTTTTGGATTCGGTCACTTTCATTCTAAGGGTGCGATGTCTCCTTATCTTTTGGGCCCTACCAACGCTTCGAGACAAACATATGGCAAGTGCTGAGAAGAAACGCCGGAACAAACTCAGTCACCACTTATTGCTTAAATATTAGAACACTACCTGCGCCCGCGACTTCGTAAGTGTGAAAACCCGTTCTTGCATCATTTTTCATTGTTGCTCTGCTCCTATTACTCGTATCGTGATGGTATCGGGTTGGGTGATCGCCTATAGCCTTCCTCGATAAATGAGCTTTCTAACACTGAAAGAATTTTTCAAATCGGACCAGTAGTTCTTGAGATTAGCGCGTTCAAGTAAACAAACAAACAAACTCTTCAACTTTATAATATTAGTATAGATTACCTTCTTCTTTGGCTTTAATAGTCTTGCTGCTGTTGTTTTTTTAACTGATTTTTTAACTACAACGAGGAAACTATAACGCTCGTATTCACAAACATTACTATGAGGTCTCACAGTGCGCGTGGACGCACAGGGTGATACACGAACCAATCACAAAGGTCTATTTAACGCTCTACGTTCGATTTGCTGCTTCACTTAAGCAAGCATCGTTTGTGAATACGGGCGTTAGACATCTCACAGGCCGAAAGCCTTCAAAAAGAGTAGGAATAATAGATAAAATTATATAAAAACTAGCTTTCCGCCCGCGGCTTCGCCCGCGTGGAATTTTGTCTGTCACAGAAAAACTTTATCGCGCGCGTCCCTGTTTCAAAAACCGGGATAAAAACTATCCTATGTTCTTTCCCGGGACTCAAACTATCTCTATGCCAAATTTCATCAAAATCGGTTGCGAGGTTTAAGCGGGAAAGCGTAACAGACAGACAGACAGACAGACAGACAGAGTTACTTTCGCATTTATAATATTAGTTGGGATGGGATAGTTGGGACTAGTTGGGATGGGATTAAAATGTAAAAAAATATAAATTAATATCAAAAACATTGTGATGTCACTGCCAGAAACACGTCACGTGTGCTCGAAACTTTAAATACACTTCATGGGTGATTTATTTTCCTTTGATGGTTACCAGCTTGTTTTTAAAAATGTAAAGCCAATTTTTACTTATGTAATATTATTAATATAATGAAGGTTTGTTTTGTTTGCTGACGTCACGGTATACACGTGTAGATTTAAAATACCTATTTACAAATACCACAACGGCGTTTAGGAATATCGATAGGTATAATGAAAATAAACAGAAGCAAACATTTCCTTTGTTTGAATTTTTATTAGATCAAAGCATGTCTTCCCGGAAACCACCCTTGTGTTTCCTCAAAGACGGTGTTAGAAATTGGAATATTTCGTTATTTTGCTTTATTTTAGCGAACAAAATTAATGTTGCGCATATAAAATGTCAGCTCTACGAGCATATAGCTCGGCCGCTGGGGCAGGAAAGTTCTTGAGTGGCGACCACGAGCCGGAAGACGTAGCGTGGGCAGGCCTCCCACTATGTGGACCGACGATCTGGTGAAGGTCGCGGGAGGCGCCTGGATGCGAGCGGCGCAGGACCGGTCTTTGTGGAAATACTTGGGGGAGGTCTTTGTCCAGCAGTGGACGTCTTTCGGCTGAAACGAACGAACGAATATAAAATGTGATTCGTCAGAGTATCCATAATCTTGGCAACATGTAGGTAATATTTAGATGATCAAACGAACTTACCAAGTGAAGTTCGATCTGAATTATCCTGTTTTCGCCGAAGAGATTTACAAAATAGTTGTTACAACCAACCTTGTGTTGGGTCTAATTCTCGTCACTACACTGCACAACTTAAAATAATTACGTTTTTTGTCGGTAAAAACGTCCTGGTGACGTCACTTAAGCATTTTTCTTATACTGCGTGCGGTCGTTGCGCGTGCGCACAAAGGAATGAGACCGCTCGGACACCGAGCCCACAGCGTGGTAGGGGTGGGGTTGCCCGCTCTTTTGTTTTTTACTACTACTACGCTGAATATTGTGTGCGGATTGGCTTGTCGTACAGGGGTACTACACGGTAAAATAAATCTCGGAGGCGAAAGCAGGATAATTGGTATTATCTATCTATACTAATGTTATAAATGCGAAAGTAACTCTGTCTGTCTTGCTTTCACGCCTAAACCACTGAACCGATTTTGATTAAATTTGGCACAGAGATAGTTTGAGTCCTGAGAAAGGATATAGGATAGTTTTTATCCCGGTTATTGAAACAGGGACGCGCGCGATAAAGATTTTCTGTGACAGACAAAATTGGACGCGGGCGAAGCCGCGGGCGGAAAGCTAGTTTGAAATATAAGAGGTATTGTAATATATCGTATCTTATCGTATTAATACTTTAATGACTTCGCATGAAACTTGGATTGAACATATTGTACAAAGTAATCTACACGCCGGATCTTGGATAAATTAAAGACATTTGAAACTGATAATCACTTGGAAATTTTATATGGTACCAGTATATTTATTTAAAGATACGAACCTGTACCATTTTAAGTACTTGCATTGTTGGTAGACGCAGACGTAATCACAAACGATGCTTGCTTAGTGAAGCAGCAAATCGAACGCACAGCGTTGAATAGAGTTCTGTGATTTTTTCGTGTGTGACCCTGTGCGTCCACGCGCATTGTGAGACCTCATAGTAATGTTTGTGAATGCTGTGATACGGGCGAGAGTATACGTATGTATAGTAGGTATGTATAACACATTGCCGTTATGGAGGGTAGAAAAAAATAATGATGTATTGACATCTTAAGTACTCAAGTCATGGTTTAGCAATAAATCATCGAGTATTGACTACCCTCCGTTGTGTTTTTTGCGGGATAATGATTCAGGCATATTACGAGTACATTGCCTTCAGCAATCCTTCCAAGATAAGGTTTGGCCTGGTTTGGCTATCCGAGAGCTTAAACAAACCCTTCTTTTACAGCCACTATTGTTTACTGCCCTGAAACTACCTATTCTGGTAGAATATTACTACAGATGCCGGCTACTGCGCACGGGTAGATATAATAGGAATATTAATTTAAAAAATAAGTATGCCTATATAAAAAAATAGGATTCGAATGCGGAAAGACTTTTTCAATCAATCCCACAGTTTTTCAGTTTATTCGTTACAAACATCGAGGATGCTGGCTGCATTTCCTCGCTGGATAGCAATACTATTCTATGGAAAATATTCATCATTATCATCATTTCAGCCATAGGACGTCCACTGCTGAACATAGGCCTCCCCCAATGTTTTCCATGTTACCCGGTTGGTAGCGGCCTGCGTCCTGCGCTTTCCTACTACCTTTATGATATCGTCGTATTGAAAATATTATTCAGATTAATTAATTCAAACAATACCATGATCTAATTAGTATTTAGAGCATTACAACACCGACTATTTATTCACCTCTGCCTATTTACTAATGCCAGTTCTGGTTTAATTACAATTACCGTCCCAATTAATAGTAATTAGGTACATATCAAAGACTAGACACCGACGCGGCGTTGCTTCAAACGTGTAATGGAAGTCCAACTTTGGATAATTACTTTAATTTTTAATTATAATGGTGCGTTCACACCGGGAGTACATATCCGTGCGTGAGTAATCGGGTACACCGAGTATTTCGATGACGATGCTGATGGCGATGACATGAGAAAATTTCATTCCATAAAAGTAAATCTGTGGCAAAAAGGTAGGAATTTCGAATTCAGAATGTTTTATACAACTTGTACTGGATTTTTTTTATGTGTTTTTATTTCAACGTACAGTCATATAAAAGTAAGCATTTTCGTTCCATTTCACACAAGAAGGTACTGAAATTGTTGTGTTCAATAAATTCAATGAGAGTTACGTAATTGCGCTTACCAGTTGGCGTCACTGGCGAATGATATACCTCACTTGACACTGGCGCCAATCTAGTTGCGGTAAGGTAAACGGCTACTAGTTCGTGATAGTACGTAAGTTCGTAAGTTTTTTTTCTAGCTCAAATAATAAGCAAATG